AGTTTAGTCTCAGTCTGTTCTCTTGCGTAGGAAAGCGAGAGATTATCGTTCAATTATGCAATTATAAAGCATTACTGGTTATAGCACAAAGTTATTAGTATCATTATACTTTAAGCTAAATCAGAGTATTTTACCTGTATCCATCTCATCTACATTGCTGAGGAAATCTTCAGGTGTCGTTGGTATACTGTAGCATCCTAATCCCAAGCCACTGTCTGTACTCTGTTCCCTGGAATGGTATGGCCCACTATAAATTGAAACATGAAAAAGCCTCAGTAAAGATGTTCTGTTAGATATAGTCCCTGAACATGGTGTTTGAAAAAAGACAGCACAGTAGGTTAGATATTAAAGTTAAATACTGAGTCATTAAGCCTCATTCTCAATTGTTGGCCACTAACATGGTCATGTTATATCAGCCCAAATACAAAGCAACTGAAGTGAGGCCACTCTTAAATTTTGAAATACGCACGTGTATATATAACTCTCTAGACAAAAACAGTTCTGATAGCCTAAAAAAATAGACTTTATTTGTACTTAGGTAATGTAACTATTCTACCTAGTCTTCTACATACACCTACAGTACAATTCAGACCGCCTGTTACCATTTGTTTGATTTTTCTAAGATTCCTTCTTGAAGTATAAACTGAAAGATTTCAGGTCAGCCACTCGGCCGTACCCCCTGTTCACAGTAAGTACAAAAGAAGATGATATAGGAAACTACTTTAGAGAGACAGCTTTAAAAGTGTAGAGAAGGCAACAGAATCAATTGCCTAATGAAGAGGACATGAACTTGCCTTTTCAAGAAAGGATCAGATCCATTATTTGTAATGGGCCTCATGTCTTGTGTCATGGCAGGTGTATTCACAGCTGTCTGAACTGGGGCCATGTTTTCTGAGTCCATGGGAAGTTGTCTGCATAAAGCAGCTTCCTGAAAAGGCAAATAAATATAAGGGAAGGGTTATTCCAACAGCTGAGAAGTACTGCAGTCTTGTAACAAGCAAACGTGTAATATATACACATCTTATTTAGGAAAGTAATTCTAAACAATGTAACCGATGACTATTTGTTTACACTGGTGTGAAGAAAATCATGTAGACAGACAGCATCTTTTATACCCATCTGTGCTGGCTTAAAATACTGCAGAATCTACCTTTCAGTTACTATTACGGCTGGAAGCCAGTCCCATAGTTCAGCCAGCAGGCAGATGTGTTTGAGGACTTTCTAATCAGCTTCACACTAAACCAGAGAGCCTGTTTGCCTGTTTAAACTAGCCTCACTCTTTTTTCATGATGCAGATCACAAAATGCTCATATAAATGGCTTTACTGGCAGAGCTGTCACATTGGCAGCCTCTAGTGAGGGGCAGTGGCAAACAGCCAGGGGAAAGTCAAACCTTGAACAAGCACAACTACCTGCAGAATGACTGCACCTCTATAGCCCTGCTGGCCACAGAGATAATCCCTACAAAATCAAATTACCTATGTTAAAACTTAGGACAACTTGTGTGTCACCTCGTCATGGAACACTGATAGGCCTGCACATTACAACTGATTATTGACAGCCTGTCCACCATGGGTCAGCTAACTCCAGTTGAGGGTTTTCACATGCATACTAGAGCTGTGTAACACTCAAATTACAATTTCAGTTTACTGTTCAGTGAGGCCAAGTTCTCTGAGAGCTGGAGTAGCAATAATAAAGCAGTTTAAAACCTGCAGACTCAAATTTAATCTCCCATGTATCTGTTTCTAACAGCTTACCTTAAGTGAAATTGCTCTCAGTTTAAACTGGTGCAAAAGAGAGCAAAATCAGGCACTGAAACTATGTGAGTTGCTACTAGATGACATAATTTGCTATGTACCAAAGCAGAAGAATATCACGTGCAACCATAAAGTACTTAACATGTTAGAAGAAAACCACTGGAGCCAAGACTTTGACCCAATAATCTTTAGAATGAACCCTCTGCCTAATAATAAGCATCTGCCTAATGACCTGTCTCATGTACACTGTCTTTAGGATGACAAACGAGCAATGAGAGCCAAAGGAAACTTGTTTCAGAACTCTTCCTGAAAGATAAATTCTTCTAGCATTATCTCTGTGAAACAACCATGACATCTAGTGGTACAGAAGTCTATACAAAGGTTGTTTGGCTCCACGGGGATGTTCCAAACAAATATCCTAAGACCTTAAAATAATAAAGCTGTATCTGTTTTTTATCTAGTTTAATCAACATTTTTTTTAAATGAAATAAGCAAAGGAAATATTTCATTTAAATCCTAGTAGAAAACTTTTCTCCACTGAATCAGTCATTCACTCTCCCAAATACAGAAAAGATTAACATGTTTTTGAGGCTAGAATATGATGTTTTACTATGTTTTCAATTGCTTTCTTCATTGAGGAGGACCGGTCTGGTCTCTTCATGAATAATGTAATAATTATTCATTGGTAATTAACATATATTGATGTCCATTAATGCAATGTTTCCTTTATAATCAAATTATCAATATATTCACTGATTAATAATTTACATAGATGGTGTCATTATTTAGTAAGTGTTAAGAATAAATAGCCTGAAGATTCTTAATAGCTTATGTATGTCATTATATTTGTCAAGTGACAATTCTAATGGTGATGTTTCTATTTATAATTAAATCAGCTGGAGTCTGTGAAAATGTACAAACTTCAGAAAATGGGCAGACTGGCTTTTTTAACTGTCTACACATGAAGATACTGAAAGTATTTTTTTAAATATAAGAATAGCAACTACAGCAACACAAGCAAGGCTAATACTAGAAAGACAGTCAGAAAGAAAAAGAGAAAAGACAGCCAGAAAGAAAGAAATACTGAAAGAGAAAGGAAGAGAGACGAAAAGGAAGACAGATAAAATGAGGCAGGTTATACTTAGCTAAGATTTTTTTGTTGTTGTTAAAGCCCAATCCAGCAATGAATGTTTTTGGTACTTAGGCAGTGCATTTTCAAATCTCACTGGACATTGTTCTACACTGATAAAGATAAGATCAGAACAGGAAAAAAAAAAGAAAAAAAAAGCCTTTCCCCTAGTTTGCCAACATGTAAAATACATGTTGGTTATCATTCTGGTTGCTGTAATTTCTAAAAATCAAATGCTATTATTAAAAATAAAATGAGAACATCCTGTTCAAGATCCAAGTATTTGCCTCTTTCAGAATATTATGAATAAGTCCTAATTTGATGGAAATTATTTCTCTTTGCTACTTTGCACATGCGTTAGTGCACTGAAAATACTGCCCCAACACCACCCTTTTTTACTCTAAGGGTGATCGAACATTGGAACAGGTTTCCCAGAGAGGTTGTGGAGTCTCCATCCTTGGAGATATTCAAAACCTGACTGGATGCAGCCCTGAGCAACCTGCTGAAGTTGACCTTGCTTTGAGAAATGGAGTTGGACTAGACAATCTCTAGAGGTCCCTTCCAACCTCAACTATCCTGTGACTCTATGAATCAAAAAATGACCATGTGAATACATACATCTTTCTGTACAAGATACAGCTTTTCTGTTGGACAATCTTCTTAATAATTTCTTGCCAGCTGTGATGTCATTTTTTTTTCAATTATCAGACTGAAATTCAATTGTATTGCTCAATAGAACTGCACTGTATCAAACATAAGCTTGAAAATTTCTTGCCTTTAGGAGGTGGTGGACAATCTTTTCTGTATCCAGCAACTTCTCAATGGATCATATAGTAAAAATCAATGTCTCAACTTGTTGGGGATTGTGTTATGTGTGTGTTGGGGGGGTAGGGGAGAGCTTGCCAAGCTCCCTGCTCATTAAAGAGAAAAACTGAACTAAAAATATGCTGCCCAGAAAAATACTAAAGCTGAATAGTTGATAGTAATGATTAACCAGAGGTGACAAAAGCTAACAACCAACTGTTCGACCAGAGAGCAATGCCAAAGAAAATCTATGAAGGAAAAGTCATGTACCTGTAGAGAAGAAAGGCCATTATTTAAGGGTGTACTTGTTGACAATTAGTAGGTGGATTCACAGCAAGGGTTTTGAAACTCTCTTGATTAAAAATGCCAGATGCCTAGCAGGGATGATATTCTAGTGCCTTGTGTTTCCACAACAGGTAATGACGTACTGACAGCCTAAAGTTCTATCCGAGTAATCAATTTTACATAATTGTTCTCATTATACTGCCAAAGATAGCTTATTTCTGAGACTAGTAAATTCTATTACTTTGAAAGACTTGTATTCACTCCACTGCTTTCCACAGCCATTGTAGAAGTACTGTATTTAAGACAAAAGATGTGTACGAAGGAAGTGAGGAAAGGTTTCCAAACAACACTGAAAAATCTGTACAATTCCATGGAATTGTTTTTAAACATAGACAGAGATAAATCTCTTCTTTATGGAACACATTTCATTAAATGAGCACAGGAAACATGAGGCTTTTCTCATTCCTCTTGTCGTGCCTTCTTCCTTTGAGCTCATTACAGAAGCACAAACACACCTCTCCTCCCGTAAGTCTATGATTCCTCTGGTACCTTTCCAAAACAGCAAAACACGAAGCACTAGTAGAGATTTCTGAACCTCCAACTAATTAAAAAATGCAGTTGCACATAAAATCAAAGTACATTGCAAAAAACATAGTGTTGTTCACAAAGGGAATTTCACATCTTTAACCCTCCATGAAATAAATATTCTTCCTCTCACACTGAACTGCACAGAAATAGGCAAGAATTTCCTTGCAGTTTTTCATTTCTCTTACAGAATGACTCAAAAAATGCCCAGCCAAATAAACAACACTGAAAAGAGCAGAGAATCTACTCTACATCTACTGCTGCTGGATTGTTCCATCTGGCAAAAACAACCAATGCACCTACATTACCTAAATTTAGGTTAATACAGATACACAGGCTGCATTTTAAGGACACTCCTCCCAGAACAGCTTAAGTTCCAAGATGAGGTTTATCTAACGTGGAGTAAGCCACTCAACTACCAAGATCAGTATGTTTTTGTGAGTGCTGAAAGCCCTGGGCACAATGTGCAAACTCTTCATTGCATATGCAGTAAAACTGCTCTGAGCAGGCTTTGGAAGTCCAGTTCTAACCTCTAGTTGTTTTATGTTACACTAGAAGAAGACCTTTCTGATAATGCAATGTCTGTGCCACTTCAAGAAACAGCTACGACTGTACTTGGGACAACTAATTGTAGCTAACAGGAGCAAAGTGACAACAGAACAGGTTTTGTTGTGGGCCAGACGCCCAAGTGCGTGCCATGGGCAAGCTTGTAAAGGCCAAGCTGAAACCTGTGCTACTTCAATGTCACAGTTACTGGCCTTCTAACCTCAAGTTAGCCTATACTTGCTGCAACCTTACCTTCTTTTTACAGAATAGACACAGGCACTGCCTTTCTCCAGAAAGACACAAAGATTTTTCTGTATCATATTGTAAGGGGGAAAAACCTAAAACACTGGTAAGTTCTGTAACTTACTCCCTGTTTCCACAGTAATTTAATTTCCAGAAGTAGCTCAGAACAGACTATTAACAAAGTAAGAACAAGGGCTCAGAGACAACATTACTGCTGTAGGCTGTTTATCCTATGGTCAGTAAGATGAACAGTCAGCCATTTGAGAAGGATTTTTGTTGAATTTGAAGGTTTTTCACTGAACTGCCTTCCACAAATAGAAAAGCATTGCAAAATGTCCATTCTTTCCAGGGCTGGACTTACTGCTCCTGCACAAAGTGCTGTGAATTTCACATGTATTTGCAGTCCTTAATGCTGGCTGGCTGTTTTCTGTCCTGTAGCTGACCTATGCAATCAGGGAATTCAGATAGTGTTCTCTTTGGAAAACATGGTGCCAACTACTGCTTGGTCCAACAAGGGGAGATTCATACCCAGGTTTATTAATCATGTCCCCAGATACAGTAATTGGCCCTCCTAACTGCT